GAAACAATTCAAGCCTATGGATATTTGAGAAATACTAATCTGCATAAACAGTAACAAAATAGACACACAGAAACAAACATGAGGAAAATCAGTTTTCAAACCAAATTAACCACTTTCTGTATTTCTGTTGTGGGAAGTGAAGTCTAGAATTTTGACAAGGTGCCTGATGCCTTCTATAAAATCCCATTTTAATCGGTGATGACAGTTTGACATTTTTCCAGCTGCTTAGAAGCACTAGACAGTCAAGTATCTCAGTAGGGCATGGGTTGGCATGCTGGGATATGTGTAAGCTTTAACTTTCCTCCCACTCATTGACTTATGATGGGTATTCAAAGAACAGGGGGAAAAAAAGCTTTTTGCAGGTTTCATACCAGCTTATGCCATCTGTGTTCTGAGTCCTGTCTTGTAAAAGTAAAGTCTTCTCTTTGAAACTGTAACCAGATGCTGCCACCGAATATTATCATTCTTAGTAGTTAAGTGAGGATTTTTTTTTTAAATAAAATGCCCTGGTCAATTCTGAACCATTTTTGGTGCCTCATACATATAAGACAAATAAACAGCAATTAAAACACAGTTTAAACTGCAAAACAATATGGCAAGAGCCTAAAGGAAATTACATCCATTTAAATATGCAGGGAGGGGCATCAATCAAAATGGAAAAGATCCTGTCTAAAAATGGCAGTTGCATTAGTCTTTGTAAATTGGGGAAGGATGGGCTAAAGCATAAATGGGACCAAATTTTACAAGACAGGTGCTTGCAAACATAGGCATGGTGGTTGAACTCTTGAAGGGTATTGGACATAAAGAGACCTTGGTGTATGAGACCTCCTGTCTGAAACAGGGCCTGGCACAAAGTCCCCTGACCTCTGAAGTTCAGTGTGTAATTTGTTCTGCCTTAGAGTTAATTCTTTCTCAGTAGGTGGTGTTGTGCAAGATGGGGAATGGCAGTTGTCTGGTGTGTGAGGCAATTTTTTATTCATTTAGCATATTCTTTCTTACTACATCATATTTAAGCCCTTGACCTAATGTACAAGGCCCACATAGTCTGCTTTTATGTACTTGCATGTCTCTTCATTATTTCAGCACTTCATATTCTTAATGCCTTTATCCTCACAGTGGCTAAGTACAGAGGTTCAGAAAGCTCCTGGTGGAAGCACTCTGACTATTGTGCTTTACTTAAACATGGTAAGTTAGAGCTTGAGTGAATGAAACAGACAGTTGCTGTTCAGTGGGGGGTGCTTGGAGCCTGCCCCCACTGCCCATTGTGGATGTTCCTGCACACCTCCCAGGAGGATGCCGGAGTGGCTCCTCTCCCCAACCCTCCCAGCCTCCCCCCACCAGCTGGCGAGTGTCAGTAGTGGCAGGGGATGGGGGAAGAGACCTTGGATCCCTTCCCCTATACCCCCTACGCTCAAGCACTGTAGGACTGGTGCTGCTGTGGGGAGAGAAATCCTGGACCTCTTCCCCTGGGGCCCCCCTGGCTGGGCAGCCCCAGGTGAAAGGGGTCTGGGCTCTGTGTCTTCACAGCAGCCCAGGCCAGGTAGTGGTGCACCGTGAGGCTGGAGCTTCTGTAGGGAGAGAGACCCTGGCCCTTTTTTCCCTGTGGCCCCCAGGCTGGACTACAGTGCACTGTGGGGCCGGGGAGCTGTGGGGAGAGAGCCCCCTGATCCTGTCCTAGCTGGTTGCAGTTCATAGTTGGCTAGAGGGAGGCAAGATTCAGGTCAGTGACAACTGAGAGGTCAGGGCCAGCTTGGCACTCGGGAAGAACAAATGAGCTCTGCCCAAGCCTAGAGTGTAACCCTGCACAACTCCACCTGGGATGGCAACAATTAAGCCCTAAGTTAATTCTTGATGGGATCTGGCTGGGATCTAGACATTTGATAAAGCACTCTAATAGAAAATGCTTTAGTCTAATACCTTATCCACAAAGTGCCATGAGTTAGAGCCTGCTCCCCCCTGACCCAATAAATGTTTGCCTGCTGGGTTGATGGGGGAGAGGGCCAGGGCTTGAGCCCATCTGCACCAGCCCTCCACCCTTCTCCCCAGCCCTGCCCTCCCTACCCCCAGCTTCAGGGCTGTCAGCAGGGGGGGAAGGGAGGAGGAGTGGGAGCAGCAGGCAATAATCCAGCAGCAGGGAAAGGGGCCTGTGAGATGAAGGGGCTCCATTCCACACCCCCAGCTCAAACCAGGCAAAGCCTAGCTGGCAGCTGTGCACTGTTCCCTCTCCTTCCCCCTCCCCCTGTCCTTGCCTGCTGACAGCCCCGCAAAGGCACTAAAAATTAACCCTCTAGATCTAGGAAACACAAGATCCCTAAGGTTATCTGTTCTATAGAGCCCTCAGCTGATAGCTGATTGGACAAGGGTTAATTGTTTGTGTGTTCAGCCATTTTAAAAGTGCTCTGCAGCCATGCACATGTGTTATGCCATGGCCATAGGTTGTTTTCAGGGCCCTGATTGGGAAAAAAAATGTAGCTTGTGTAAGCACCCTTAGAGCATGATCTGCCACTTTTAAAGTGCCTTAAGAGCCATGAACATTAGGACTGTGCGAAGCTTTGGTCCCTGATTCAATCTGGTGAAGATTCGGCCTGATTCGGTGGCCGAATCTCTGAATCTGAATTGAATCAGAGGACCCTTTAATCTCTCGGAATTGAATCAGAACCCTCCAAATTGATTTGGAGAGATTCAGAAAGATTTGGCAATTTGGACATAGACACAGCTTTAAATGTTTTTTCTACATATCTCTAGGTACCAGGTGGCTCATGAATGCAGTGATGCTGGGGCGCATGGAGTGTCCCACAGAAGCACGGGGGGCTCCCCAGCATGGTGGGGTTCGCCGCTGAGCATATGGAGGGCCCCCCTGTACTCCTGTGGGACTCTCCATCCTCCCCAGCATCGCAGCATTCATGAGCTGTGCCTGGTGCCCCAAGGTATGTAAAAAAACATTTAAAGCTGTGTCTATGTCCAAATCGCTGATTCTCCAAATCAGCATCGAATCTTCAGATTTGGATTTGGCCAAATCAAATTGGGGACAGTGATCCAAATGAACAAATCGAATCACTGTCCCTGATTTGGGCCAAATCCGAATCAAATAGGATCCGCTTCGCACACCCCTAATGAACAACTGTTCAGTTATGGCTTTAGAGTGCTTTCTGCATGTTTAAGGTTCAATAGATGCAATGTCTGTACCTAGCCAATATGAGGTACACCTGTTCTAATAGCTTCATTTAAGAGATGGGAC